CCGATTTCTGTTAGTTTCTGTTTTACAAGGTAAAATTTCCCAAACTTCTCTTCCAATTCTGGACACTATGTGGAGCACAGGAAACTTCTCTGTCTAGGAGGCAGAGAAGATGTTGAAACAATTAAATAAGAACAAATACTTTCAAAACTGCTTCCCCCTCCCAGAAGTGTTGAAGCCCTGAGAAGATGGATATAAAACAGGACAACAAGCAAAGTCACCAAAAATTCATCATAAATGAAGTTTAGGGGAGATTTCCATTCCACCATGGGGCCTGCTGACAAGAGCATTTTCTAATGATGTGGTTCTCATTAGGAAAGAGGTTCTAAAATGCAAAAACAGGATTTTCAAAATGCATCTTTGCTGAGAATAACAGGGTTTCTAATCTGTACAAAATTAGAAATATACTTTTTGAGGTGGAAACTGGTAGGAGCTGCATTACATTCTTCATCTACATAAATAGGCTGAAAGAGTGTTTACAGGAATGATAGTTCTGTATAAGAAAATATGCTTTTAGTGTATTAGTTTATCTTTAAGAAAAAAACGTCAGTTTTTAAATCAAGACACTGTAATGGCTAACACTTACATGAAGAATTTTTAAAATTTCATTTGTAATCGGAGAAATGCAAATCAAAACAATAATGAAATACTTCCTAATACCCATCAGATCAGCAAAATCAGAAATCTGGGTGTCTTAGTCTACCTGGGTTGCTATAACAGAATATTATAAACTAGCTATCTTATAAACAAACATTTATTTCTCACAGTTCTGGAGGCTGAGAAGTCTGGTGAGGGTCACTTCCTTCTTGCTGTGTCCTCACATATTAGAAGGAGCAAGGTAGATATTTCAGGCCTTTTTCATAAGAGCACTAATTTCATTCATGAGAGCCCCACCCTCATGACCTAATAACCTCCCAAAGCCCCCATCTCCTATTACCATCACATTGGGGATGAAGTTTCAACATATAAATTTGGAGAGGACACAAACATTCAGTCCATAGCACTGGGTATAAACGAGTGTTGGATGGGAAGTGGAGAAACTTATACTTTCATGAGGTGGTTTACTGATGATGGTTTTGTATAAGGCATTTTGGAGAACATCTAACCACCCTACTGTGTCCAGGACTATGCCCTAAGGACATTCTCCTACAGACTCATAATGACACAGAATAAGGCTAGGCCTAAGAACCAAACTGACTCCACTTTCCCTGCAGAGGACATTTTGTTACATTTCCACTCCTCAGTCATGAGACCCCCCCAGGCACATGATTACCCCATGGCCCACCCCGATAAAATAAACTGAGATAAGAGGGGAACAGATATCTGAGTTGCAAAACCCCTCCCCAAGGCTTGTTTACTGTAATTGTAAAAATTAAAATGCAGATTAACCTTAAGACCCCTTTAAGAATTCCCACATGTGCACAAAACTTCAAGGTGACTGCTACAATGACCCTCCCAGAGTGACAATAATGAACACCACCACCATCTTGGACCTACTGAACAAGGGCAAGGACCAAAGCCCTAACTGAGCATGCACCCATGGTGCAACCAGGAAGAACAGAATGAACCACCTCCAGAGGGGCAGAATGTTGATGCTTGTCCTGCACCCCTTACCCTCTTTCTGTATGAAAGACCCTGAACAGCTCCCCTCGGAGGCTAGTTTTCCTGTAGCTACCTCCCTTACACATAAGGCTATCTCCTCTTTTAATAAAATGTTGCTTGGGCCGGCCCCGTGGCTCACTCGGGAGAGTGCGGTGCTGACAACACCAAGACCGCGGGTTTGGATCCCATATAGGGATGGCCGGTTAGCTCACTGGGTGAGCGTGGTGCTGACAACACCAAGTCAAGGGTTAAGAACCCCTTACCGGTCATCTTTTAAAAAAAAAATAAATAAATAAATAAAATAAAGTGTTGCTTGCTTTACTGCCGGGTACACTGTTCATTTCTATGGCCTTGGGACCCCAGAGCCTAATTTGGTAACAATAAGAGGACATATCAAGAATATTCATCAAAGTTGTATATATGATAATGGGATGGTAGAGATAATTTACAGGAATGATTAAGGGATAAATACTAAGAAGGGCTCTCTTTTTTTCTGAGCTCAACACACAAGTAAATGTCAGAAACAAGAGCTGAGCCAAGGCTCAGTCAACCTTGTCGCTGTCACTCAGTTCATAACCTGGGCAGAATTGTCAAACTTTACTCCCGAATAACCTGTAATAACCACCAAAACCAAAGGCATCAAGTGTGAGTACCTTTTAAAGAACCTGAGTTGCAAAACACCAGTCTGCTTTTGAAGTACACAAGCTAAGAACTGTGTTCTTCACCTCTGTTGCTGTTCTGAAGCTAGGAGGGTGAGAAAGCAAGCTGGAGGAGAGTGTGAAGGCCATCTCCTTCACCTTCATTCTTGCTCTCTCAACATCTGACTCTGGAGATGTTAGCAAGGTAAAGTGAGTAGGAGAGAATTAGAATTTCTGGCAACTATTGTTTGATATGTTTCAGGTATGAAAACCAGCTAAATCAAGAGCTTAGAAGCAAATATAAAGCCCATCATTTGTCACGTGTATAAGGCCAGATTATGCCACCCCAAAATATGCCTCTTTAGCACAAGGGCTACTTTGAGAAACAGCGGGCACAGGAAAAACACTAAAAACAGGGGAAAACCTTCCCTTTGGCAACAAACAAACAAACTTATATTTATTATGAAAATTTCCCTTTGTAAAGGTGTCCTCTTCTGCCATACCAGAAGAGGAGAATGACTCCCAGAGTGAATTTTTATCACCAGAGATGATTTGAATCTTTACTAGACACCATTATCTTCCATTAGTTTATCTCATACGTTCGCCTTCCCACGATTTATCCCCCTTGGAAATGGTATAGAAGCCCTCAGGTCTATCTGCCTCTTTGGGCTTTCATTTCTTTTTAGCAAAAGCTTCCATATGCATATGAAAAAACCTTTCCCCTCTGTTAATCTGTCTTTTGTCAGTTTAATTTGTAGGACCCAGACACTAAGACTAAGAGTTTAGAGAAAAAAATTATCATCTAATTTTCTTCACCTCATAAAGGGGCACTCATAAGGTTTCTCAGTGTTTCAAGATTTCATTGTTACTGAACCCAAGTCTGGCTACTCACGCCCTCCAGGAGGAAAGAAAACAAATGACTCAGAAGTCAAATGGTTGCCGTTATAGGCAGGCAGTGTTTTCAGTTGAAGGAGATGGTTGCCTATCCTATCTCAAAGGCTTATATTTACTAAGGGGTTTTTAGAAGGGGGTAGAAGGAATGGAAAGTGGGAAGTGAAAAGCAGGAGGGAAGGGATGTGAAGTACAAGGGCTCTATGTCTCAGGTGTAAGGTCTTGTCAAGGCCTCATCTGGTTTCTGTTCCATATTGCTGTTATATCAAGGCCCTGCAGGACTTTGATTTGCTCCAGAGTGGAATCAGCTTCTTTGCAAAGTTTTCCTGCAGCTTTGCAGAGCTCTGGCTGACTTGCTAGTGCCCAGGGCCAGCTTCCAGATATTTGGCCTTGATCACTTCTTAAAATCCTGCAGTCTCAAAGAACTATTAGTTTTGCAAAGTACCGATAAGCGTTTCGGTCCTGTTTTTTTTCTATTTAGCAAGCAAGATAAGAAAGTAAGGGGATGGGAAGAAAGAGAGGAGAGAAAAATGACTGTTCTTTAAAAAATCCCTCTCCCCACTCTCCCGGACCAGGCTGTTTTAGGTCCCAACTTGGCTTCAGCTCTGCTTATTCCAACATTACCTTGAAAAATTTCATACCAAAATAACATATTTAAGAACAGTTGCAATTTAATGAGGAAGAACGATGCCTGGCTTTTCTATAGTTGCAAGAGAAGAAGAGTGCTGAGATTGCTCCACCAGAAGATACAGGAGTTACACCTTCAGGGTTACACACCTGGATTTCACTATTAACAGGGAGAGAAAAAGGCAAGCCTAGAAGCTCGACGGGAGATGGAATAACTAATAAGAGATGGATATGTTTTGCATGTACAGTAATCAGAGTTTATAATGCACTTGGAAAGACTGTCCTAGAATAAAATTAGACATTTGTTTAAGGAGTAAATAAACACTTTTGGAACGTACAAGGTAAACATTACTGAAGCTCAGGAAGAGAGAAGGACGAATGTCGGCCTGAAAAAACTGTTGAAGTTGAAGCACTTTTTTTTTTTTCTAGAATAAAGTCATCCCGGTGTCTGCACTCTGCAATTTATTTGTGAATTTAAGGAACAGGGTTCTGCATGTGGTTGATTTCCTAGTTCATCAGAGGAGAGGAGGGAACAGGAGGGAGCTCTGAGCGGCATTTTCACCCGCTCGAGGACTCCGGGATAAAAGCCGCCCTTCTGCGTCAGCTTTTTGAAGTGTTTCTAAGCAGGATGAAGAAAATATTAAAGTCACTTCTCCCCCCAGTGTAGCAGCCAGCCAAGAAAGGGAAAGGGAAATAAAGGAAGGCGACACGAAGAATAAGTAAGGAAAAGGGTAGAGGATTAAATGTGAGAAGGCAAGGAACCCCACCTTGAAGCTGGAACCCGGCGGTCAGCCGCTTCTCAGGCTGATTACATCGAGATAATACAGGACGCGCTTTGCATACCGGACGGTTTCACAAATGCCGGAAATGACTGCGACCACCTCTCTTGTGATGAGCCGCTCGATTCCAACAGTCACAAGGCACTAGTGGGAAACATGTTACATGGAGACTGAGAAAAAACAGACTGCAAGGCCTGACCCAAACAAAGGAATGGCCTTGCAGCGGTTGGCAGCGTAAAGGACCAGAGAAAAAGGACTGAGTAAGTTTTAATCAGGCATCTTTTAAGAATCTCTAATTTCAGTCCCGCCCTTTCCATTCTTTTCTGAAAACGTGGGCAGGGCTCCAAGTCAGGGAACTGATTGAGCAAATACCGCTGGCGTGCAGAGTTCCCAATCAGGTCCGACTTACCACTATATAAAATGCTGCCAGGAATGTTGAACTTGCTAGTTTCTTTGAGCTGCAGACATGTCTGGTCGTGGTAAGGGAGGTAAGGGTCTGGGGAAGGGCGGCGCCAAGCGCCACCGCAAGGTCCTGCGCGACAACATCCAGGGCATTACCAAGCCCGCCATCCGGCGCCTGGCCCGCCGCGGCGGCGTCAAGCGCATCTCCGGCCTCATCTACGAGGAGACCCGCGGGGTCCTCAAGGTGTTCCTGGAGAACGTGATCCGCGACGCCGTCACCTACACGGAGCACGCCAAGCGCAAGACTGTCACCGCCATGGACGTGGTCTACGCGCTCAAGCGCCAGGGACGCACCCTCTACGGCTTCGGGGGCTAGAATTAGAATCTCCCATCTTCTCATTCCTCAAAGGCCCTTTTCAGGGCCGCTCACAAAACCTGTGAAAGAGCTGTAGGCATTTTTTAAAAGCTTTAGAAGTTCATCAGTTTGGGCGTCCTCACATAACGTGTAACATTAGGTGTGGCCATACAGTGGGAGTTTAGTGCATTTGAGTGTCCTAAGCACTAACTATCGTAGCGGTTGAGAGTGGTAGGTTCGGTGGCCAAATCTTACGCCTCGTTTAAAGGTTGTGAGACGGCCGGGCTCACCCTGTATCGATAACTTTCCCCTTAGAACGGTAAGGGCTGTGTAGTTAGCGTAGTATGGTCCGTTACCTTAAAAAACACTTTACATTAAAAGTTGGTCGAGCCTTAACAAATTCTAAGGCTATTTTCTTTTCCTTTTTTTTTTTTGGCGGCTGTCTGGTTTGGGACACGAATCCTTGACCTGGTGTCTTCAGCACCACGCTCTACCCAGTCTTAGGCTATTCTTAAGCATATTCAAGTACGGGAGTTGCACATGGCTCGAATTTCAAACCATCTCCATTCCTTTAATTACGAATACCTTAGTCTCAGTTCCCTTTCATGTTTTTCAATAAACTTTATTTTGGGAATAATACAATTATGACTTAAAGTAGTGCAAAATACTTTCAGATCCCCAGGCAGACATTTCTCTTAGAATTTTTATGCCTGGAAAATCTTTTTCAAAGGTAGTAAGATGATTTCTTTATACATTTCTTAAAGACTGAAGTAGAGGCAGAAAATGTTTCCCTTTCATTAGGGGATTAAACCGGCAACCAATCCCGTGGGCCAGACAGGGAGGGGTAACAGTCTACTGTCCAATCAGAACATGAGGGTCGCTATAAATGCTGGGATAACCGGCTCGTTTCTCCATCTGTTGGTGAGTGGTTAGGTTTACTTAACCATGGCTCGCACGAAGCAGACGGCTCGCAAGTCCACCGGCGGCAAGGCGCCCCGCAAGCAGCTCGCCACCAAGGCAGCCCGCAAGAGCGCGCCGGCCACCGGCGGCGTCAAGAAGCCCCACCGCTACCGGCCCGGCACCGTGGCCCTGCGCGAGATCCGCCGCTACCAGAAGTCCACCGAGCTGCTGATCCGCAAGCTGCCGTTCCAGCGCCTGGTGCGCGAGATCGCGCAGGACTTCAAGACCGACCTGCGCTTCCAGAGCTCGGCGGTGATGGCGCTGCAGGAGGCCTGCGAGGCCTACCTGGTGGGGCTGTTTGAGGACACCAACCTGTGTGCCATCCACGCCAAGCGAGTGACCATCATGCCCAAGGACATCCAGCTCGCTCGCCGCATCCGCGGAGAGAGGGCGTAAACTTAGTGGTCCAAGGTGTACCCCATTCCCAAAGGCTCTTTTCAGAGCCCCTCAGTTGTCACCAAAAGGTAGCTGTTAACCTTTAACCATTTAAAAGCAGGGTGAGCGAACAAGGTGATTATTGGGGGGGGGGCGGGGCGGGTGGTCAAGAATTTATCAACTCCGCGTGCTGGAAAATTGAACTACAGGCTAGTTAGAGTTGGCTGTACTAGCCCAAATATCACGCACAGAACCTGCTCCTATTCAGCAGTAAAGAGCTCTTACGAGATACCATTCTGAAATGATGAAACCATCTTAGAAACTAAAACACCCTTGGCTACTCCAAGTGAATGAAGGAGGACTTTACAATGGCAAAGTAGTTCTGTGGGTGGTTGTATAGTTTGTATATGTTATAGTTTTATTCCAGCACTTGTACTTTGTAATGTGCTTTTTGCTTACATGACTGATACAAAACAGGACAAGCACTATTGGAGAAAAAAGTTATCTTTCCTGGCTAATGGTCCGATTTTTTTATTTACTGTAGGCTTATAAGGTGCGCTCCCTCCAGCTACACTGGAAAAGTATTTGCCCAGGTCATTTCACAATGTATGGTAGTTTGCGAAGCTGAATCTTAAAGTATTTTTTTTTTTTTTTCCAAATAGAATCAGACTGGGATTTAAGCCTCAGGTGGCCTTTTAAAGCTGTTACCTGTTTCTACCCGGTTCCACTGTTTCTTAATTTTGTCCACTATTTTCAACTGTTTAAAGTTTCCTCGTACTCTTCATATATGACTATCATCACCTCATTTTGTTACTTTTTTGGATACACACTTGGCTCTAAGAGACAAAGCTATGTGAAAGCAATTTTTCTCCTGAGTTTTCTCAGGTAGGTGAGCCACCTGGGCCTTACCTTCTTTCCCCTATACTTGGATTTGCTCTGCCAAGGAGGTGTATATCCCAACAACTGGCTCCTTCTATAGCTTTTTGGAAACTTGAGAATTGATTCAGAAAAGAACAGTTCTGACTGATGGGACCAGAAGCCTCTTCCTACAATTAACTTCGCTCGTTTAGTGTATGTCTGCTAGGTGTTGGGACAACTTGATGCTGCCTCTTCCAAGCTTCAAATACAGTTCTCTCCGTACTCTTTCAAGAATTTTCCCATCATAATAGAGCTGAGGCCAGGTGTCTAGGTTCAACCCCCAGAGCTGCCAGTTACTAGCCAAATAACTTCTGTTAAGTCACTCATCTTCTCTCTGGACCTCAGCTTGTACAGCTGTAAAATGTAGCAAACAATTTAAAGCTATAGAGCATACTTAAGATTACTTCCTGCAATTTAGTAAATACTTAAAGAGTATTAGCTCTTATTGTTATACTACCACACCCCTTAGGCATGGAGTTGGGGGGGTTCCCCCTTGGTCTTCTGAAAGTTTTGTGATTAGAACAGCACTTGTGATTAGAAAGTACTTGGTTAGAATATTTTCTTGTTAAGATCTCCTTTTCTTTAGTTCTCAATTTGCATTGTTCTAGAAGATGTCTGTAGCAATATCTGTGTCTATGTGAAGGAGTTCAAAAATAGCAAAAGGGCTACATAGCAAATATCTCAGGCATTGTAGGCCACATATGGCCTCCATCATACATTCCTTTTTTTTTTTTTTTTTTTTTTTAAATCCTTTAAAAATGTAAAGACAATTCTTAACGTGAGGGCCATGAAAAAATAGTCCACAGCCAGAGTTTACCAATCCTCCCAGGAGCTCCTGGAGAGGAGATGAAGTGTATTTGCCACTTTAAATTTTCCTGCACAGCTTCTCACTGGCAAGAACTAAGTGACTTGATTTCCATTGAAGATCTGGCACAAAATCTTGTAAATCCCCCTTCCCTCAGCAAATAGCTAACTTCACCCACCATTCCAACCTCATGGTCATTGCCTCACTTATGTTTTCTGAAATTCTGAACCTCTGTAACCTTCAGTCCCTCAACACCCAGTCCAACCTTCTCAGTCAGTAGCTAGTTATTCATTAAAATATAGATCTCTCTGTGCTTGAAAGTAAAAAAATACCCATATTGATGTATCCTGGCTATTTACACTCTTAGAAGAGAGTATTTCTGATGGCACAACTTGTTAAATGTTGATGGGGATTTGAGTGGAAGCACCGGGAAGAACACTTTGAAAAGCTGACAGGGTCTCAGTTCATCCAAACAGATCATTTGAGAACTACTGGGAGCCCTTGAGTAATTTTCAGAAGGGTTGAGAGTTTTTGTCTAAAGCAAATTATTTGTGCTAAGTACTTTTCATCCCCATTTTAATGGATTTGCCCAGGAACTAAAGAGAGAAAGCACCTCAATCAGAAAACATACCAAATTTAAGTTTGAATTTGAAATCCGGGTGATTGGATTTTGAAGTCAAAGCGATTTCTACATTACTCCTACTGCAATGTGGAGCTGACAACTGAACTTTTCCAACTCACCAAGTCTCATTCTCTAAAGACATCAGCACATGGAAACTCCTAGGAGGCAGAACCGGTTTTTGAAGTAAGGTCTATGTGTTTAATTCGGGGCAGTATGCAACCAGCCGCCCTGTCTGTGTTACTTCCTACAAGTAGAAACAAAGTTTACGCCCAAACCACAGAACTTAGTATCCTTTCTCTTGCAGAAATCAAAGGCCGAACCTAGGGATAAATCCTTTTAAATAACGTTCACTCGATACTTAGTAGACATTTATTGCAACATGCAACTAACTAGCACGATGCCCTCAAGTAGGAGGATTCTTATGAAGAGCTGAGGGATTTTTAAAGGTTTCCTTCATCAGTGGTACGTGATTCATGAAAACACAAACAAGCATATGAACCTGAAGGCTGTTTTCCTCCTTTGGAGCTTCAAAACGCCCAAGTCTGTACTGTCGTTTTTATCATTTATTCAAATTTTGGAGACTAACAAACACAATTTGGGAGTCGAACCGCGAGAGGCGGCGGCCTGAGGGCGGTGGATTGGACGCTCCACCAATCACAGGGCAGCGCCGGCTTATATAAGCCCCGGGCCCGAGCAAAGCGGCATTGCAAAACTTGCTCTTAGGACTTTTCAATCTCCTTTTCTAACATCTTCTCTTGTCGCCATGTCGGAAACCGCTCCAGCTGAGACGGCCACCCCGGCTCCAGTAGAGAAATCCCCCGCCAAAAAGAAAAGTAAGAAGTCTGCCGGCGCAGGCGCAGCTAAGCGCAAGGCGACCGGGCCCCCAGTCTCCGAGCTGATCACTAAGGCTGTGGCCGCTTCCAAAGAGCGAAATGGCCTCTCTTTGGCCGCTCTGAAGAAAGCGCTAGCGGCTGGTGGCTACGACGTGGAGAAGAACAACAGCCGCATTAAACTTGGCCTCAAGAGCCTGGTGAGCAAGGGCACCCTGGTGCAGACCAAGGGCACCGGCGCCTCGGGCTCCTTCAAGCTCAACAAGAAGGCGGCCTCCGGGGAAGCCAAGCCCAAAGCCAAGAAGGTGGGCACAGCAAAAGCGAAGAGGCCCGCTGGGGCCACTCCTAAGAAGCCCAAGAAGGCTGCAGGAGCGAAGAAGGCAGTGAAGAAGACGCCGAAGAAAGCCAAGAAGCCCGCGGCGGCTGGCGTTAAGAAAGTGGCCAAGAGCCCTAAGAAGGCAAAATCCGCGGCGAAACCCAAGAAGTCGGCAAAGAGTCCCGCCAAGCCCAAGGCAGTGAAGCCGAAAGCGGCCAAACCCAAAGCCGCCAAGCCCAAGGCAGCAAAGCCCAAAGCTGCGAAGGCGAAGAAGGCGGCTCCCAAAAAGAAGTAGGAAGTTGGCGTGTTCAATAGCAACAAAGCCCCAAAGGCTCTTTTCAGAGCCACCCAGAGAGCTCTAAAAAGACTAGCTGTGCACTGGGAATCCTAACTACTACCCCCACCTCCCGCTATTGCAAAACTGTGATAGTCTCCAGCTTCCTCCCTTCGGTTTTGGGAACTTTGATTCCCTGTTGAAACCCGCGCGTAATCCCCAATGGTTGGTTTTTGGTCATCAATTTTGTTTGTTGGAGGGTGAGACCTCCATTAAGAACCGTAGTGGCATAAGTGAAACTGAATTGCCCAGCTCTTTCACAGAGACAGTAGGTGGCTCTGAAAAGAGCCTTTGGTTTGTTAGGAAGACGTCTTCCTATTTGCCCTTGGCCTTGTGGTGACTCTCGGTCTTCTTGGGCAGCAGCACGGCCTGGATGTTGGGCAGGACGCCGCCCTGCGCGATGGTGACTTTACCCAGCAGCTTGTTGAGCTCCTCGTCGTTGCGGATGGCCAGCTGCAGGTGGCGCGGGATGATGCGCGTCTTCTTGTTGTCGCGGGCCGCGTTGCCCGCCAGCTCCAGGATCTCGGCGGTCAGATACTCCAGCACCGCCGCCAGGTACACCGGCGCGCCGGCTCCGACCCGCTCGGCGTAGTTGCCCTTGCGGAGCAGGCGGTGCACACGGCCCACGGGGAATTGTAGTCCTGCCCGGGAAGAGCGGGTCTTGGCCTTAGCCCGTGCTTTGCCGCCCTGCTTGCCACGTCCAGACATGATAGCTAACCACAGAAATGAATGGGGTAAAGCGAGTTAGCCAGAGCAGCACTACTTATAGTCTCATTACTGGGCGCGAAAGTGAAGCTATGCCATTGGCTAAAACTATACGTTCTTTTACTTAGACCAATGGAACTACTAATTTTAAATACACTTCTTGTGATTGGACAAAGGTTGTGTATGACGTCATCTAGAACCCTCACCAATCAGACTCAAGAGTTGACTAATCACCTCATTTGCATAAGTAGCTGTACATAGACAGTGCTCCTACTCCTGTCGTCTTCTTTCTTCTCGGTTTTTTTCCACTCTTAGTTAATTTCTGCCATGCCAGATCCTGCGAAATCCGCTCCTGCCCCGAAGAAGGGCTCGAAGAAGGCGGTGACCAAGGCGCAGAAGAAGGACGGCAAGAAGCGCAAGCGCAGCCGCAAGGAGAGCTACTTTCTCAGTGCAAGGTGCTGAAGCAGGTCCACCCCGACACCGGCATCTCGTCCAAGGCCATGGGCATCATGAACTCCTTCGTGAACGACATCTTCGAGCGCATCGCGGGGGAGGCGTCGCGGCTGGCGCATTACAACAAGCGCTCGACCATCACGTCCAGGGAGATCCAGACGGCCGTGCGCCTGCTGCTGCCCGGGGAGCTGGCCAAGCACGCCGTGTCCGAGGGCACCAAGGCCGTCACCAAGTACACCAGCGCCAAGTGAGCCAGCCCGCAGCTGCCCACACCCCAAAGGCTCTTTTCAGAGCCATCCACGGTTTCCAAAGAGATCTGGCACTCACTTTGTCTCTCCTTTAGAGACAATCAAAGGCAGTGTCAATCTGAAACCTTTGGTAAATGCTTAATTTATGCAAAACATACATTGTGACCTTCTGGTGTTTTATTTTTTTAAATTTTTAAATTTTTACTTTTTGACCGGTAAGGGTATGTTAACCCTTGACTTGGTGTTGTCAGCACCATGCTCACCCAGTGAGCTAACCGGCCATTCCTATATAGGATCTGAACCCGTGGCCTTGGTATTATCAGCACCACACTCTCCAGTGAGCCACGGGCCGGCCCACCTTCTGGTATTTTAAATAAGTTTATCTGCTGCGAAGTTTGTTACAAACTTCAAGATCCCAAGATACGAGTTTTATTGTGCTTATTTCACTTAAATCCATACTTTCTAGTGAAACACAAAATACAGCTTTATTAGAAATTGCAATGAAAAGCATAACAGCAAACCCAAACTTATATCCCATGTTTTCCTTAAATAGATAATGTTATTTGAAAGCAAGTTGCTGCTTATCAACTTTTCAGACTCAATTTTAACGCTGAGAATCACCTGTTGAGTAAATCAGTGGCTAAAAAACTTCAAATGCCCTTTAATATAAAAATGTATCATCATCATTTTTTTTTAAACATGACTGGTAAGGGGATCTTAACCCTTGACTTGGTATTGTCAGCACCACGCTCTCCAAGTGAGCAACCGGCCATCCCGTGGCCTTGGTGTTATCAGCACCACACTATCCCGAGTGAGCCACGGGCCGGCCCTAAAATATATCATCTAATGAAACGTTTTACATGTTTCTAATGGACGTTTTACAGGTTACACCACCATTTTTAGGATCCCTAGTAGGTTCTTTTCTCTTTAGATTGTTTTTTTTCTTAATACAAATGCTGGGAAAGTGATATCTTGCTACCTTTCACTCTAGGCTTAATTTGTACAAAATGACCTAGTTGCATTGAGTTAAAGATGGAGAAAGGAAAAGAATTAAATTAAATCACCTCTTCCCACCAGTTAGAAGTGATCCTCACCTACTAATCCAGATGTTATATGGAAGTTTGAATTTTTCTACCAGTTACTTTGTGCATCAATCTAGGTAAACCAAAGGTACGCCACACTCCTTCCCATCTCCACACATTTCCTATGAATTCCTCTAATGTAAGATGTAACTTGACTTTGCTTCATGTTCTTCACTCACCTTTTAATGTTTCTCCCCTTTAAGGGTTGACATCTGTGTTTACCATTATTTTCACGTGGTCAAAATTTTTCTTGATTAAAAGAGTTTTGAATGTAGGTCAGTTTCTTTTCTGAATCAGCTCCAGGTTTCACTCACTCTATTTCTCCTTACTGTTTTTGTTTGTTTTGTTTTGGTTTTGTTTTCCTGTAACAAGAGGGAAATTCCAACCAAAAAGGCAATGTTTTTGAAACCTGAAGGAGAGAGAAATAGGAAGGCATTTTCTCCAGGAGAGAAGTGCAGTCTCCCAGTGATTAGGCTGGCACAGCCATTTTGCCTCTGCAGGAATCAATATAGAAATATCAATCCCAAGCATCTACAGACCATCAGATATTAAGACTCTAACCCCAGCCCCTTTATGGTTTTCTGAGGTAGTATTCAATTTTTCCTATTAGACAAGAGGCCTTAGATGGTCCTGTGGGAATAAAAAGCACAAGATTTGGGCTGAATTTATGAGCTCAGGGAGCAAAGCAGAGAGTTAAGGAACTAAGTCTGCAAATAAAGACAGTGATTGTCTTCCCTCCAGCCTTGTAAAGCTGGCTGGAAACAGTTGCAGAATTGTTGTGGGGCTTAATATTAGTCCATTTCTTTACCAGGTCAACCAACATTGTCGAATATGAAATTGGTACTGTTACTGATGCAGTGAAGAAATGGACTAATATTAGGATTACAAACGTACAATTATTTCTTGAAATGTACCTTAGAGCTGTTTCCATTGCTATAAAGTCCCCACTCACAAACCATCCAAATACCATCTGTCGTTCAAAGCAAATCCCAAGCTTTACCTCCTCTGAAAACTACCCTGATTATTCCAACTTGCACTGTTTTCCCGTTTGAAGCTTCTCCGATTTTTTTCCTTCCTGTTTCAACCTCTCCCACACACATACACCCTGCCTATGTGCAAGCTCTCCCTGTCTTTCCCACACAGTCAGCTCCTTTAGACCCAAAATCTCAGAAGTGTTAGTTGTTTCTAAACAGTCTTTTAGTATTTTGTATTTTTAATACAATAAAATATTTTATACATTATTATTTTAATCCATTTAATATTTAATATTTGTAATCCATTTTTAACCAACATTACCTGTCTCTTCTATTATGGTTAGCCTATGGGACCTAAACTGGTACTGAGCTTTGAAATCAGAACACCAATTCCTAAAACATTTGGCCACTTCAAGAGGTCAAGATTTTGGCTTTTCTGAAACTCAGTTTCCATATTTGTAAATTGGAGATGACAGCAATTCATAGTCACATGGCTTGGGAGAATCAGTGAGGATGCTTTGTCAATTATGAATTATTACACAGACATTTTTATTTATTTGGTATTTGAAAGGCTTAGGACACCCTCACCTACCTATCAAATTGAACCTTCAGCCCATACAGTGTTGTACATAGTTGTTTTTCAGTTTTTTTTTTTTTTAGTAGATATTTGCTGAGCACATGTCATGTGTCAGAGTATTTCTACTAGGTACCAGAAATATAGCAGTGAATTAAACAGACAAAAAGTCATGCACTCACAGAGTTTATTTTCTAATGGGGAAAAAACAGACAAATACATAAAAAAAAGAAAGTGTATCAGATAATATTAAATGTTTGGAAAGAAAACAAAGCAGAATAGAAAGGGAGTTTCTTTGTATTTTCAATTTTAAATAATATAAGCAGAATGCTCATCAAAAAGGTGGAATTTAAACAAAAATGAAGAGATGAGAGAGTGGGCCTTTGGGGAAATTATCATAGGCAGAAGAAAGAATGAATGAGTAAAGAGGGTGTTTCTTGGGGAGGAGAGATACCTGCTATTAGTAAGGGAACTGCAAGGTGGTCAATGTGGCTGAAACTGAGGGAGCAAGAAGGAAAGTAGCTTCCTTCTTCTAACACGAAGTAACAGACATATGGAGAGAGCTTTCTAAAACATGTAGGTTCTTATATGACACTATGATGGCTTTGGCTTGCATTGTCATATACTTCAAATTCTTAGTAGCTGCAAAAAGCTATGGGTTTTGGGTGACTAGTTGTGACTCATCTCAATCCCTGATCCTGGACTTCAAAGGGACTCTTTGTGCAAGGCACTCCTTGTGTGTCATTTTGTTTTTTTTTGCTGAAAACTTCCAGAGAGGATAGAGGGAAGAATTCCCAGGGTGAGTTAATGCATTAGGAACTCTGAAGAAGTGCCAGACCCTTCCCTACATATATGGGAACACCAGGCCTTACACTCCCAACAGTTGCCTTTTTCTAGAATGCAGTAATCCAGATCATCCTGAACTGAGCAAATGCTTGTGGGGGAGTCACTAATTATGAAACTGCTTCCAGTTAG